AGACTAACATAATATGGATGCAAAATTATTTATTAAAAATTGACTAGGTACAACTGGTACAAATGAACAATAGTTATTTTATAATTATATAATTACACAATAAATTAAATAAATTGTTCAGTTTTCAAAAAAATTTTAAATKTATCGAAAAATGTGTATACTACCAGTTTGTAAAAAAAAAAATCGATTTATTCCAAACAAATCCGGCCGAGAAATTCAGTGTTCTCTAAATCTGTGAACACACTGTATAATGCTTATAGGATTATAGCAGGTGGGTATAAAATGGTTCATGTCCAATAATCATTTTTTTCATACGATGTTTATTGTTGATTATATCATTGGTTTTATTATACTGATTTTCGCATAAAGGTTGAACTAGATTCTTTACATCACTTCCTGAATTGTTAAATATAGTCTTTACCATGTAATTGGAAGAACTTCGTGAACTAATTAATGTTGCATTATGTGATTTCATGTAAAGATTTAAATAATATGTGTAATAAATTCATATATTATGTTATACCAGTTATTTTGGTGTTGCGGCTTGTGCGTGTCGCGTCACACTACGCGTTCGCATTTGAGCGATATGTTATCACTATCCATACGATAACGTGATGACAGCAGTTTTGCTAGTGCAGCACGATGCATATAGGTATTATCTTGTGGCAACGACGGCGGACCACTGCACTAGTGGTCGGCCGCTATTGTGGCCGTCCGCGTACTTGCCCTAGGCCAAAAAATCTATAGTTATCCCAACCGCGGAGGACGGCGACGGCGGTGCCAGCATCGATGACCGCGACCGCTTGGGGCGCTAGCACCGCCCGACCTCGGTCCACGGTCAGGCGCGGGCGGCGTGTGTATGATCGGCTACGACGGCGACGGCATTTTTAGCATCCAGCGGCTCTAGAAACCGCACGGCCGTCGCCGCGTCGCCTGCGCCGCAAAGTCGCGAAATATTTTTCCCCGCATATACGCACGCGTACACACACACGCACACAGACAAAAGGGCGCGCGCGCGCGCGACTGGCAATACGTATGTTGGCCATAGTCTCCGACGAATTTTTTTTTTTAAATTGTTCGTTACTAAATTTTTGCTCCTCGCCGGTTTTATAGTCACCGGCACCATATTTCATACCAACACGGACAAAGCTGAAAATCGTCGCGAGGAAAGGACGAGGGACGGCAACTGATATAGCGCGCTAAAATAAAGCTGATGCAGTCGAATCCGTCACACGACCGTGAGTACGTTCGTATTTTATAATGCCTGTACTGAGTACATATTTTATACGCACGCCACTGATTCTGTCACACGGATCTCTCATACTTTGATTAAAACGAAAGTCGTCTCTRATCACATTGTCGTGGAGCGATAACAATAATGTCCTATACGCTCTCGTCTGCGAAAGGATGCCGACTAACCTACTAGCAGTGATTTCTCCTAACGTCGTTCCGTATAGTTACACGCGACTCGCAAGAGCTGTTTAGTGTTTATACGCAGTGTTTTCATCTGCATCCACATCCACACTTGTACACCCTGTTGGTATATCAATTCACTTCCACCTCGTGTGTCTGTATACCCAGCCATCCTCTGCTGACTTACCTCCCAGGTGACTTCACGCGGCGCGTCCTATACCCACACGAAAATCAATACCCGATGACCTTTCAAACGCTTTTGTCGTGCTCGAAACAGTAACATRAAAAAATTATTATATTATCCAATATTTATGTTCTATAAGTGATATTATATTATAATATACCTACTTGAGGTGCCCTCCAGTCCAACAGGTCGTTCGATCAGCCTTCGACATAGTATCCAACGACGTCGCTGCCACGAAATGCCGTTTTAAATATTACAATACACACATAATATGTATTTTACATTTGTTTATCAACTGACTACGTGTAAAACGCGAAATTATTAAATAATAACTGTGCATATACGCATAGAAAAATAATTGCACGACATAAGCCTATAACGCGCAATTCATAAAGTTATTATGAATAAAATGATATAATAATGTGCTAATTTTCATTTGTGAGTTAAAGTTATTTTTATTTACACAGCCCATTCGGTATTTTGGTGGCAGGGTCGATCGTYCTGAGTGTAGGTATAATTCATAAATATCGACCCACCACATGTGATGATAATAATATATGAGTACTACATAGGATAACCCACTAGCATGGATATTTTCGCAAAGATATATTATTATATATACATATTATAAATGATTATTTAATGTTCTAGCGTATACCATTATTGTGGTGTACATCAATCTTAATATTATTGTAGACTCCATAATCGTAGAATCGCGAGTATTCTCAAACATAACTTAATAATATATTATGCTAAATAATAGGCCATTTATAATAACACGTGAATCCAATTACTTCAATCAATTGATTATTTTAATTTTTATATTATATGTAATATAGTTGTATTTTTAAATATAATTGCGTAAAAAGAGTTTTTTYTGTAACAAAGATTATTATTAATATTATATAATATATCATTGTGATACTTTTTTAAATTGAATATAAATCCTTTAACTGTTTTGGTTTTGTACTTAACATATTATAAACAAAAACAATAATTTTTAATAATAATTAATGGTTCGTGTCCATAATAGTATTATATGGTTTACGTACAATTATTAATATAATTGTTATCATTGAAAGGTCATAATCTTTRTTCAATACTACCTATTAAGTATTATAATTATATCGATATGCTTATCGATATTTATATTGATAAGCATAATATTAAKAAAAAAAAAATAAAAAAATATATAGGTTACAATTTAACCTAAAGAATAACGAATAATCATGTGTGTCTTAGATTAATGCTTTTCTATATTTTTATAAAAAAATTAATTATTTTCGTATACTTATTTGAATTTAATTTGATTTTAATATTGCGCTCTTATAAATCGATTACATGTGATAAATGTTAAGACTTACATTCCATGCAAGTATGCAACATAACATTTTTATTAATTAGTTAAAATTGTAGGTATATTATAAATAGGGCTTGTAAAATTCACAAAATTCACATGTAGAGTGCATAACCTTTGTAAGTTTACATTTTTACTTTCATACTTCGACGTGTTAAACATAATATAGTTTATTGTTAATTCTTRTTGACATAAAATTATGATTAAATCTATTGATGAATATGTATTGAAAATAATATAAGCATTATAAATATTAATTGAGAATTTCACATTTCTAATAAAGTTTGTTATACTCACACTAAACATTATGCACAATATTGATTAGCGATTACTAGATGACTATATCGATTAATACACTTAAAATGCAATTGTAATAACTCAAGAACACCTACCAATATTATAATCTGTATGTTTATAATTGTATTTTATTTTTATGATAAATAAACTGGATTTTCATCTAAAAAGCTATAGTGTCTGTTGGTGGCCATTTTATTTATTATGGTTTTGTAATTTGACAAATGGAATAAATGTCGTTACTTATTAGTATTAATTGTATTAWCTTATTGGCTCAAATATCATATAAGTGTCTATATGAATATATTTTAAAGTGAGAATTCTAAGGACGAAGTATTAAATAATGTTGACCATGATAGGCTGACATTATATAGGCTTTTAAATTATATACTCCATGTAGGTATAAATTTATTATATAGTAGGTTAAACTATTTTGATAAATATAATTATTGTGGTATAATGTATATAAATTAGTTCAAACTTTGATACATATTATGATATTAGAAATAGCAGTGATATAAATACGTAATATACCACAAATTAACCAATAATAAGTTTTTTTWAWATGAATATTGTATATTGGTTTTGTTATGCTTGTGTCTTCACAATATATTCATAACCAAACACATATAATTGACACATATACATTTCTATCTACATTTTTTGATTAGATATAATCACAAAATAAAAACAATAATATAAACAGACCAAACAATACAGTAGATTAAAATAAAAATATGTTTTTAACTAACAATTTGAATGAACGTTAAGTAATTTCAAACAATATAATATTCTTAAGTACCTATATAATTTTCTGTAGGTGAACGATATTGGTAAACTTATGCTATTTAATATAATACGCTTGAGATGAGAATTTTATTAGTTAGATATATTGTTGGATGACGCTCTAGTGATGAATCAGAAAAAAACATGTATAAATAATTCACATTAAATCATTGTATGACAAAAAAAAAAATAATCTAATTGAATGTGAAAATAATTATTGTTGAATTATTCGAAGGTCGCCTCTTCCTAGAGTGATAATAAACAATTGAAATCGTTCAATTAAACGTCCCTAACAGTCAATTAGTTTAAKCTATATATGGTTTAAGACTATTTCTACAGGTAAATATAAATGTCATACTTACTTATGTATATTTTAGAACCTATGCTTATATGTATAGTAACCATATTTGAACTATAAAAAAAATTATAGCTTGTAATATGTTATTAGTTTAGGTTATAGGTTTTCATTTAAAATATAAAATTAAAAAAAAATATATAAATTATGTAAATCCACAGCAAAATATCATGCAAAATATCATGCAATTTATTATATTATTTTAATCATATTGATTCAAAAGTCGTGATTATGATTAGATTTCTGTATTTAATATAAATTATAAAATAATGTAATGATTTTAATATCATCTATTGTCTATTGACTATTCAGAACAGCAAGGTACCTTTAAATAATAATTATCAAATAATACATGAAACAAATAACTAACTAATTGCGTTTTCAAAGCGCGCTATTTGTATACATTACCAATTTTAAGTCCGGTAGGTAATTATAAGTGATTTATATGATTATTTTACAACAAGATTTGTAATTGTAAAATGTAATTCTTGTTTTATGAAATCATCTGTGATTACAATTAAGATGATAGGTATAATTGTATAATATACGTC